GACAGAGAGAGAGACAGACAGACAGACAGACAGACAGAGACAGAGAGAGTCATCCTCAAATTATCAACTGAAATTCTCCTCTATTCTAGAGCTATAGTGAGCTACTCTAAATAGCAATAGCAATACCAAGGGACTCATGTCCTCTCACAGGTGACAGGGGAAGTTTCCCCATTACAGGCATCTAGCTGTGGTGGTGCTGGGCTGGGCTCCTTGAGAACCACAGCCTAAAGTGTTCACAGAGAAACAGCTGTGGGAGAGGCAGAAATATTTGGCCTCAGCATCACTGGGTCTGTCCAATGATCGTATCTCTGTAGTGCAGTGGGATCTAACATAAAGAAAGGCCCATGGCTCCCAAGCAGAGGTTGGTCTATGGCTATGTATCAAGCCTGGCTTGGAGTTCAGTGCAGGCTGGCTAAGACCTTCTGACGGTGGCCTGGTTCAAGAGGAGCAGGGTGAATCCTGGTTACACAGCCTCCTGGGGGGACTGTTACATACTCACCTCTTGTCTGCAGAGATGGATGTGGAAGTCTCTAGTTCTAGATGTTCTTGTAGAAATTGATACATACAAGCCTTTGTCACACAGATTATGTAATGTTCTATATTCCGTGGCTTTGTAGACAAGATTTTTTATTGCTACATTTCTGGGAGGGGAGGTATCATTTTTTTTTTTGCAACTTGTAACAGTATATGGCATGATCCTTAGTATCATGTCTTATATAATTGACCGATATCTTTTATAATTGACATTTTCAAATTTTTAGGAGAGGAGGACTGGAATTTCCCTACCTTCTGAGAGGCAATGGGAAAAATCTAACACTATTATTATTAATTGGGTCCTTACATTTTTTTACATTATTTTATGCAAAATGTACTGTGAATTGTGCAGAGGTGATGGCATGTTGAGGAACGCATCATGGGTGAATGGCAGACAGCCCTTCTATTTCTACTGCAATATCCACTGAGAAATCATCTCCCATCGTTGCTGGGGCTCTGTGGGATTCATGTGGCCCATTTTCAGGGCTGAGCTCATGTTGATTTCACAGGGACTACTCCCTCAGAAGACTCTCCCCCAGAGCTTCAGCTAGGGGGGACTTCTGTTGTGTCCTCCTCCTCCTCCTCCTCCTCCTCCAGGATGGTTCCCTTCTCCACCACTGTGATGTGAGGTTGGCACTGTGCCAGCTGGGTGTAATTAAATCAGGGCTTCTTAAACTCGAACTCTGTGTGGGTGAAACAACATGGTACCGAGGATTTCCACAGACCGATGAGATGGGAAACAGAAATGTGAGTGGAGTTGCAATGAGTATTTTCAACTGATTTTATCGGGTACACTTACTGGAGTTCCCAGATAAATCTTGCTAGTACAAGTGCAATCCTCTATCCACAAGGCAGCAATTTCCCCTGAATTTGTGAGCGTCTGTAAGAGAAGGAAAGGTAACACTGAATGGACCATCAGACTCTGCTGTGGGAGCACATGCTGATCATCTAGGATGTTAACTTGGGACGTCAGCTAAAAGCTTCACTGTTTGTGTATGTTATTAATAATTTATAAACTCAACCTAAATTCTTATTTTCTGAAGAAGTGCTAACTATTACCATTTCTTTATCCTGTTTTCTTCTCTCTCTTCCCCCCTTTCTCAGTCTCCCTGAAACTGAAAGACCCACAGAAGCA